TCCTTTTATTACATTGTAGGTAATTGTTTGGGAGTCCTTTTATTAGGTCCTTGTTTGTGAGTCCATTTTAAATCATTGTTGAAGACCTTCCATTACCTATCAAGATGAATATCAGCCATAAAAGAGCTGTTCCTTTCATATTTTGTTTTTCTCAATATAATTAAATACACTTGTCTCAAATATATTCATCCTTTATCACATCAAAAGGTATCAGTTCTGTAAATATCTCCAATGGAAAAGGCTGTACCAAAACTGATCAAAATAGGGACAGGGAAAAGTTTTGCAACTAAATTGATTTTTATCAAAGATTTAAAGAGATTCTGACTCATGTTATAATAAAGAAACAAATCAGGTTAAGGGTAAATACATTTTTCACAGAAATTGGTTTTAAATGATAATGCTTGGTGATTATGGTCCAGTGGCAAATATTACACTTGATATGAATATGAACCGTTTTGGATGAGCTGATTTTCATGATTTTTAACACACTGGTTTACAAAGTAACAATATTAAGGAAGATGTGTCTGCCTATACTGACTCAGAATAGGCCAGAATGTTTAAAGATATTTCAGGAGCACCTAGAATGAACTATATAAAATAAGATCAAACATTGGTTTTATAAGATATTTATTCTGCATGGATATACATATCACTTTGGGGAAAGTTTGACATCATACGCAAACATCCCATAACAAGTTAAATGAATGAAGAAGGGAAAGTACTAATGAAGCATCAAAAATAAAAATAAGAGAAATGGAGAAAAAATATCATTAGAAGCTTCATATTACTTCTCTAGCTAACTACTATTGGCTTTCATTCTCACTTTGTGCATTTAAGGAATGATAAAATTTTGTCGTCTTGGTAAAAATTTCAACAATTTACAACTGATATTAAAAAGCCTGATTGTTGCCAGTTTAACATCCAGGAGGAAACTGAACTAAAATGTATTGATAACTCAAAATCATTACATGTATCATTATACCAAAATCTGACCACTATAAAAAGAAACTTTTGCCCTTAACATACACTTTCTTTCTGGACTTTGGCTTGAAGGAACAACTTACTTTCTAATTAAACATGTTAAACTTTCATGTACATGTACTATACTAATATGAATCTGTTTGACATATACACTACTCAAAAACTGGTTTACTAACTATACAATGGAACTTTTAATTTATATTAAGTTAGTACAGTTAACTGGAATGTTCTACATATAAATTAATTGTTAGTTATACCTGAATTTTAGAAAGTTATACACTTGTAAATTAATGGAAATGGTTAACTAAAGATTTATATGGAAAAATACCTCCAAAAATACATATAAATAAGATGATGTTGTATGAGTGCCAATGAGACAACTCTCCATCCAAGTCACAATGTGTAAAAAGTAAATCATTATAGGTCAAAGTACGGCCTTCAAAACGGAGCCTTGGCTCATACCGAACCACAGGCTATAAAGGGCCCCAGAATGACTAGTGTAAAACAATACATACAGTAGGTATTACAGACAGATTTAACACTTCTAAATTTGACTTTTTAAAATATCATTACCACATTTTTCAGTTCAAAATTAGAACCATTTTTTCTTTTATATTGTGCTTTGATTTCATTTTCATACAAAACAAAAGAAATTTTAAAAATAAACAAATGCAAAAACTTTATATAGCTCTTCATGCTGATTATCAAATATAATTCATATCAATGGAAAATACAGATGATTTCTTATAAAGGGTAAATCTTTTATAAACTACATGCTCTTATCTAAACCAATCACACTTAGTCATGATAAAGCTCTAACAAGCAAACTCATATAACAACAAACAAAATCTTTGTTCACAAACCCTACATTTATAAGCCTGTCCTAAATCAAGCCTTGCAGTCATAAAACATTGGAGTATGATAACTGCACTAAAACTTAGAAATAAATGTATCAAAACACTGGATTTGGTGTTTCAAGCACAAAGGACAAGGTTCACTTGAGGCCAAATATATATGGCCTTGAATTTCAACTTTATCATAAAATGTCAAAATGGCCATAACTTGGTTCTTAAATAGGTTTTTTTCAAAAGCCTAACTACTAGAATAATCAAATCTCTTCATAAGAGTACATTCTAGGCTTCAAAATCAGCACATTTTGTACATATTTTCAAAATATGATTTTGTGAATTTTCAGACCTAAAAATTTGACCAAAACTGACATTTCTACACAAATAATGCATAATTAAGGGGTCATTACTTTACCATTTATAATGGGATGTGCCAAAAAGAAGTTATTTTGAATAAATATTAATATCACAACTATTTCTATTTGAAATTTGTAGTAATTTGGCCTGATAAAAAAAACATCAAAATCTCACAGCCAATTTCAACCATTCGTGAACGTACTCCTTTGTACTCCCGAGTACTGTGTATAATTTTAAAACCAACAGGTGAGGAATCTTGTTTGTGGCTGTTGTTGTTTATTCATGCTTTTTTGTCTATTGAAAATCTACTGATGGTTATAGATTATCTAAGGCTCTGAAAATGTGTAGGAGATTAGGCTGCAATATCAATGAAGCGAAAGCTCTGGGATGAGATGTACAAATGTAGCAAAGAAACTTACACAGACTTAAAAGGCAAATCATAGATAATCTGTTAATTGATATTTACCTAGGAAACATTAGGTCTTCACATACTCAATCTACTTGACTGCGAAGAATATTCTTAACAAACTCAAATAAAAAACAAATCTTATACAAAAAATAAACTCTAATAATCATATACATGTGTTTGAGGTTTCTTAAAAATGTATTGCACTGTGCACAATACAACTGTATTAACAACTAGTGAAAAAAAATTGAAATTCCTATGCTGTCAATAGCACTAATTGTGCATTTGTTCTTTAATATGTAAAGTACTTAGTACTGGATATACATGTACATACTTCTTACATATACACATTTTAACTTTTATGTAAGTCTTTCTTGATTACCACCATAAATATTGATTTCAATGTGTATCTCAATACATTGCACATGTAAATACATGTATCTGTGATGTTACAAACATGAACGACCTGGTCAAATAAAAAGAACTTGTGAACAAACAATTTGTCATTGTTTTGGTCATTAAGGATTTATCTTTTGTGAAAAGCAGACACACATATATTTCTTACACTGTAGATATAATTTCACATCAAATAAACACACAAAAACTAAATGGTCATAAAGAAAATCCAAACATAAATCAGCCATAATTCTCTATCAAATGATTCATTTTTAATTTGGATTATTACATCGTAAATCATGATTCTTTTTAACATGTTCTTTTATATAATGTTGCTAGAACTCATACGTAATGGGAATATATATAATTCACAATTTGATACATGTAACTTCATGACCTTTGGCCAAAGATAAATGAATTTATTTATTCAGAAATTTGTGTTTAACAATTTTGAATTTTTGGTACAAAAATTACAATGTTGTTCCATATACAATGTACATGTATGTGTAATATCCTGTATTATTGTATATTGTAAATGTTGTATGGTAACTATTTTCCAATGAACATGATGAAATATTTTTATGAACAATTTTCATCATGTTAATTTTACCATTTTTTTCGTAAAATTTTCTTCATTTTTTTTCTAAATATTTTTTTTGTTTTTCCCTAGACATGCTGGAGTAAAAAAATGGTTTCAAAGCTACAAAGTGAAAATGAAAAATAGCAAAACATCCTATGCAAATTGATATACATTGTATGTATTGAGTTTGTAAGTTTTGTATGTCAGAAAATATTGTGATTCATACATGTACATCTGTAAATTACAGCCCAATCATACTCTGTGTATTGATCTAAATATTAAATGGTAGCATGAAGAATTTTGGATTCCCTAAAATAAAGTTTGAATTTAACACCTTCTCTTAATGTCAGTCATGATTCTAACAAATCTAAGTGGTTTTACCATGTTTAATAAACAAACAATTGATGAAAGATCAACTTTTCTAAATCAAATATTTATCATGTTTTTCAAAACATTTGTTATTCTTTAAATGATGTATATAATATGTATGATGCATGGAAAAATGTCTTGCACAATTTATATTTATATTTGAATTCTTACCAGGAGTTTGGACGACAAGTAGTGTTATAGCAAAAATTATCAGATACTGTGGATTCATTTATTTTCGTGGGTATCAATTTTCGTGGATAGAGAAAAAAAGACGTTTCGTGGTATACGTAAATTCGTGGATCGCTGATTACAAAAAAAAAATCTGATACGTAATTCGTGGATTTCTTTTTGATTTAGGAGATCATATAACCTCCTTGGTTTGATCAATAATAAAACAAACAAAAAGAAGGAATTCATTGAAAAAGTTTTGAATTGTCAAAATCCTTGATTGGTCATTCTAGGTTAAAGTGTTCATTGAAAACTTCTATTGCAATAATGGACAGAGACAACTAATTATTTGTTTGTTTTACAATTTATAAATTCTTGTCGGAATTATATAAGTCATTCAAAACTCTATGATTGAAAGCTCATTTCCCAAATCACGATATAATAAACAGTCGATCATATAAGTTAAAGGTGTGAAAATAAATGTTCCTATCATAAACTATTTTAACTACGGGCAATATCCCAGTACTTAACCCTATTGATTTTTAATCACCAGTAAACAAAACTATGACACGGTAATTAACAACTTGCAGTTATTTTCCATGAACAGTTTTAATCAATTTTAAAAAGTAAATTATCACTGATATTCGATATTTTTATTATTGATTTAATCAAAATACTTGTATCTTCTTTCAATAAAAACACGTGTTATGTTACAATGTTTATTGCTAGTCAACACTCTACTAGAACTGCATAACATAACCGGAAATAATCATCCGAATCCATACACATTTCTCGGGATTATTCTTCGTTGAATTCTTAAATTCGTGGTTCGCTTTGACCCACGAAACCCACGAAAATTGGTATACCACGAATAAAAATGAATCCACAGTAATTTAAAGGTCAGAAACAGAACAGAATTTGTTATTTTTACAATCAGCACTATACCAGATTTTAATTTGGTTTCACAACAAATGTACCAGAAACAAATTTATTTGCCTAACAGTTTTGAACAATACTGTAAATTCAAAAATTACTGCTTGCATTTATCATTGCTAATTTTGAAGAATGGAATAAAATGTTAGATCAATAATTTCAAATTCAGAAAAATCTGTATACAGTTATATGTATCAGATATAAGAATGCGAGTTCTCATTATTGTGATCTGCATATCATGCAGTCGCATTATTCGCTTTAATAAAAACCTCACAATAATTTCTGAATTTACAATAATCATGATAATGGATACATTGTACAAACAAGTTTACATTTTAAAATTATATGTACTGCAAAATTCTTTGATAAAGTTTGATTTTGAGTTAATTTCTAGTTATTATGCAGGTGAGCAATGCAGGTGAGCATGTGCTGATATCACAACATTCACAAACTGGTCATTCAAACATAGTTACATGTATCAATGGAGGTGCACATATGTAGCACATAATGTTCAAGATACCCTTGCCTCCTACATGTACATGTACATTTGTACCAGAAAAAGAAATATTTACTCTTTCCTACCAATTCATAAATTAATCAATGGATGATAACAATCTTGAAAGCCCATACAAGTACATTGTATGTGATTTGACCTCCACCCACCCGACATTTGTACATCTGCTGACACTTAATATAAAATATAACCGATTCATAGTTTTAACACATGTACTGTTTTCATGTACATTTTGTATTAACTAAGCATTAACATACTTGTATTTATCTGATTTTAATGTTATTAAAAACTATCTTTATGTGATCAAAAATTGTAAGAAACTATTACATGTATCTACAAAATATAAATTTTGTTTTGGTTCTTCTTAAGGTTTTGTTTTTTAAACTTCATAATTTAAGAACTGATTTTAAAAGAAATATCACATTCAAAAGCATTTGATAATCACTTTACAATTCATTCTAATGCATTTCTATAAAAGTCTCTAACTTTTTAGGAATCTGTCCTTTATACGATATATTACATTTTACAATTTTTCTTGCAGAAAGACATTGTAGCGTCAAATAATTTAATGGTGAAACGATGTCATTAATCGACATTCCCCTTATCAATTGCATTGGTGTTTTTCTGTCTTTGTTGCATCTGTCTAAGTGAGCTCCATTCCTTAACAAGGTACGTATAACCTCTGACCTACACGGTCGATTGCTTGAGGCTATATGTAAAGGTGAATTTCCATCAAGGTCAATAGCATTTACATCAGCACCAACATCCATTAGAAGTTGGGCTACGTCGGCAGAGGGAAATGAACAAACAGGATATCGTCCAACATTGGTTGTCTCCCTTGAACATGCCAAATGCAAAGGAGAAAAACCTTTAGTGCCAATGGGTTTCATGCGAACTAGTTTATAAACGACCTCTTTAAATGAATGGTCTTCAGCTTTTTTCATGATCTTCTGTAAACGGCACATTAAGCATAAGAGGTGCATAATTATCACAAGTAGTCTGCTAAAATGACTGCTGTCTTTGTCAGCTGTTTCATCAGCTTTCCCTTTCTCTAATTCCATTATCGCACGTAAAAGCACATTATGAATGTCTTTGAAAGCTATAGAGTGAGCTGGTCGATTCCTCCATTCTGTCATCATAAACGAAAACAATTCTGCAAACGAAAGAAAACTACTTTGTGTGGTTGGACTTAGAGGTTCTAACACTGTCTGCTGCATATCTAATGCATACATCCAGAGCATTATACATCTCTCAAAATTTCCCATATCCGCATATAATGCACCTCGATAACGTATATAGTATGATGTATCTGGATGGGCTGGCCCCAGAATTCGTTCACGCACTAAAAGGGCTTGCATTCTCATATCGTCAGGATCTGAAATAAGTTCATCTAATTCTTCTAGATTTGTCACTTCTTCTGAGTTTTCGTATGCCGCTACCTGTGACCCCTGTTTTGGCTTTGGTAAAGGAGGTTCATTTGAACGATCTTCCATTGCTTGTCTCCAGAAGTTGATGGCACCTAACATGTCCCTTTTCTTATCCACATACGTTGCACCTAGTAATTCTAAAGCATCTATTCGTTCATGTTTTGTACATTCCTGTCTTCCAATCAGGAATTCTACTATTTTCGAAAATCCTGCCACACTTGCTGCCATTAAGGGTGTCATTCCATATGCATCTTTTTCCATTTTTGCCCCATGTTTCAATAATAATTTCATGATGTCCAAACTTCCTGATTCTGCACAGTCGTGTAAAGCAGTGTTACCTGAAATAAGAACAGAAGGTACATATGCATGTACATGATGATGTCTTAAGTTGTCATGACTCGAAGTTTTTACCAGACAGACAATTTTTGTAACCAATAGTTTACATACATGTAGAAACCTATTGCAATCACAGAACAAAAGTATTGATGGTGTGTTCACGTTTCTCCAACATTTGCAGATTAGACTAAAACAACATTAAGGATTAAGGGGTCCTCTTAAGGACTGGCATCTTGATATTGACCTGTAATTCTCCTGTTTCAGTTCTTAACTAAAATATTGTTAAATTATATAAAAGGGGTATTTTTTAAGATCTATTGTAAAATATTAACAAAACATAGTTTTTTTTTAAATAATTGGTTTTCATATTTTTTTGAAAATAGTTTCCCAAGATTTTAAAAGTCGATATAATCTAGCACAGTAATTTAAATTTTAATTTTACTTTGTTTTCATATTTTTTTTCTCTATTGTCCATAATAATGTATTATTTATTACCATGTTGCGATCTTGAATAAAAATAATAATAAATAAACATTTAATATTGTGAGAGCTTTTTAGAATTTATAATAGCTTGATTGATTGATTGGTGTTTAATGCCACTTTCAACACTATTGTGCTATTTCGTGGCGGTCAGATATTATTGGTGGGAAGCCAGAGTGTTCAGAGAGAACCGCCGACCTTCGGTAGGAAAACTGACAATCCTAGTCAATTAAGATTGGAGTCGAGTGCACCTGCCTCTTGAGGGATTCGAACTCGCAACCTTTGTGTTGACTTGCTAGTGATACAGTAGATCAACCACTTGGCCACAGAGGCCCCTATAATAGCTTGAGTCATCAAGCTTATATAAAAGTATCAAACGCTGCTTATTATTAAAGATGTAGTATATTAAATTTCTTAGTCAGCTTGCATTAATTGTCCAAAGCTCACGTGACAAATGGAGAATATTTGTAGCTGACAATTCAACCAGCCAGTTCCCACAGTTAAACACCCTACAATTCACTTCGTGATGTACCCAATTTGTATTCTCCCTTTTTCGTCGAAAAAGTAAATAGATATACGACTGACTCTTTCATTTGCTTAAGACAGTGTGCCATGAACATTGACTTCGTCTCTTACGAGACACAGACCGAACGACCAGATAGACGATATACATATATGGTTCTTCGCACTAGAAGACAACAGCTTTCGGTGACTACAAATGTATATACGTACATAAAACTTCGTTGTTGCGCATCATTTTAGATTTAGATATCTCAGGGCTCGACAATAATGCTTGTCCGATACCAGAGGGAAAAATGGTCAGACAAGTAAAAGCCATATCAAGCTTGTCCGACAGGACAAGTAAGAAAATAAATTAAATCCAACTTTGATGATCAAAGTAATAAACAAAAAACAAGAAAAGATAAAAACAAATATTAATTTGACATGTTTACATGCGATCGATAATTTAAACTGGTTCTTTGTCAGATACTTTATAACAGATAAAACACATACTATTCTCGCACCGTGACATTTCGGGACCAAGACAAACCAGTACCTCTTTTCCTACTTATTATGTTGCTTTATGATAAATATATGATAAATTTTATTTAGCAAAAAAATCTTTAAAAGAAAAATGAAGAAATTGTTGACCATAAAATTCATCAAATCATATTTGATCATCATGATGATCATATTTAGACAAAACAATATATATTTGATAGTGTTTTTGAATAAACATTTTAATATATTAAAACAAAGCTGATTGTAGTAATAATCAATATTTTATCAACATAAAAGACCAGGATACAAACCAATTGAGTGTAGACTGACAGGCCTACCAGACTGTGCCTGATGTTCAGAGTCTAATGAGACTTTGGCATTGATGAAAACTAGAACCTAAGTCCTGTGACATGACATGACTAGATTCACATGATTCAGTTGTTCTCAAAAAAGATATTAAGAGATATAAATCAAATTCTGTTCTATTATTTTAGTTCATTTTGTTCATTGAATCAACCTAAAATGCAAAAAAAGGTTAATATAAAGGGTTTTTTTTGGACAAGTTACAATTCCATTCGGACAAGTAAGTTTTGGTATGTACTTGTCCTATTGGGCAAGTTGAAAAAAAAGTTATTGTAGAGGCCTGTATCTACATGTAAAACAAATACAAAAACATATCGAAAATGAGGTAACTTCAGCATGTTCAGTAAACATATCGATTTTTCATGTTATTTTCAATAAAAATTCGGTTTTTTTTTTAAAATCATTTTGAGATTATTTCTTGATAAATTTTTATGAAATTTTCACATTTGAAGGAGAAATGTTTGATTTTCCTTGTTTATTCATGGATTTTTTTTTGTTGAATAACGTTTTAATTGTGTGATAGTATCATACAAACAAGGATAAAAATAATTCATAACATTTTCTGGTTATATTCAACCAAAAATATATCATGTATATAAAAAATCAATTCTTGCAAAAAAAATAAATATGTTTTGTTAATGTTTTTATATATATGATCTTTAAACAATGCTCCTTTTTACAATATTTTAGTTAAGAACTGATACAGGTGAATTACAGGTAAATATCAAGATGCCAGTCCTTAAGAGGATCCCCTAATCCTCAATGTTGTTACTCTTCTCGTAAATTTTTTATTTGCCGTTTGAATGTCAACAGAAATTTATTAAGCACACTAATACACAACTTTCTGTAATAAAACTAAAATACAATTTATTCGAATACAAACTGTAAAACATTATTATTTCTGTTTACATAAGCACATTATGAAAGAAAATCACAAAAAACTTGACCATTAAAAGAAACAGAGTACATGTAAGTAGTTAAGCTAATATTTGCAATAATTTTGTTCATCCAACCAGAACCGAGTTGCCATTACACTACTTTAGTTTATAACCCAGTGAGATGTGATTTCTCTCTTTGAATCTGACAAGGAGGAGTGAGAGAGACTAATCAAAGTAATTCAAAAGAAGAACTTGTTCACTCATGGTGCTACAATGTTACATGTGCATGATGTACATGTATCTTGTATTTTGTCATTTGTATCTTCCTGTTGATATCATTCTGTTATCATGGTTATACAAATCCAATTCATTTTATTTTATGCTTTTTTGAAACACATGATATACCAAGTTTGAAAAGGTTTTATTGGTGACTGTGTAGTGTATTACATGTCATGCATGTAGTGAATTGTAAAATGTAACTCATTTGTTTTAATTTGTTTATTATACTGCTTTACATATTTATTTATTAACTCAAATTTTTAGCTCATCTGAATAAAAAGAATTGCTTTGATATGTAGCGTTTATTTTTAAACTTTTCAATGTTAACCGCTGTTGAATGCTGTCTGGTGAAGTCACTGATAGAGACGCTTGCCACATGAGCACTATGTCGAATCAAAATAAAATTTTCTATGTCTATGCAATCACTTTACACTAATATTTATTGCTATAAATAAACAGTTGAAATTACCAACAGATTATCTATTACTATCAGACTATAGGGTGACAACAACCAACAGACTATTAGTTATAATCGCAACTTTAAATAGAGCTTAGCAGGTTTTAACCTACATGTAACCATAAACAAGAGAGTGTTACACTAGCTATAGGTACACTTTATAATTATGTACACATTCATTTGATTAAAACAGTATCATGAATATACATCTTTAAATAAAGTCATCAAAAGTAACTATCATGTACACTGTACCTTTCACACTTTTTCTATTGACATCTGCATTCAATTCTAATAAATACTGTGCGATCTCTCTATGACCTTTGTAACAGCTTATCATTAAACAGGTGTGACCATGTCGGTTTGCAATTTCAATATCTGCTTCATTATTCACTAGGTGTTTTACTATTTCGTAGTGTCCGTCGAAACAAGCAGCTCTAAGAGGAGTTGAATTAGTGTATGTAGTTTTGTTTACCCCTGCTCCCTTTTGTATCAAATATTTCACAATGTCTAAATGACCAGCAGCAGCCGCACACCACAAAGGTGGTGCCCCTTCAATAGTCTCTCCATCAAATGTCACGGATCCTACTTGTTCAATTTCAGCAGTACATTGTTCTATGATATATTTAACAACTTCTAAATGGCCATTACGGCATGCCATTATGAGTGGCGTAGCCCCATTTGTTTTTGCGTGTACAAGTTTCCCTATTTCTTCCTTCGATTTGTGGTCGAGGAAGATCTTCAGACGATTCAATTTGCCGTCCCGTGCGGCATTATAAACAACACTTCTATATTCCATAGCCTTCATGGGAAGGCTTTTTCGATTAGGAGACCTATATATTGATAATTTTAAGGGGCTTTTGTTTGATTTTTTGAGTCCAACTCCTCTCCTCGTTGCCAGAAATGTCAAATATGGCGAAGACACAGTTTATCGCCAGGGGGCGTCATTTCCGGTTTTACTTGTATAGCTAAACACCTACATATAAAAACTTTTGAATTACAACAGCAACGTACGTTTTAAATAGGTGTACAATCGATTTACTGTACGTATTGCTCCGTGTTTGTTTTTTCTACATTGGCTAGAGGTATAGGGGGAGGGTTAAGATCTCAAAAAACATGTTTAACCCCGTCGCATTTTTGCGCCTGTCCCAAGTCAGAAGCCTCTGGCCTTTGTTAGTCTTGTATGATTTTTAATTTTTGTTTCTTTTATATATTTCGGAGTTTAGTATGACGTCCATTATTACTGAACTTGTACATATTTTTGTTCAGGGGCCAGCTGAAGCACGCCTCCGGGTGCTGGATTTTCTCGCTGTATTGAAGACCCATTGGTGGCCTTCGGCTGTTTTCTGCTCTTTGGTCGGGTTGTTGTCTCTTTGACACATTCCCCATTTCCATTCTCAATTTTATTTGACTTCTAAGTTATCTCTTCATTTATAATATGAGGCACGCGTTACCTGTAAAAGAGAACGAAATCCGTATTATTATCATTAAATTCTTTTTTGGTAATTAAACATACAATTTTGCGGTAAACTAGTAAGTGTTCTACTATACATAATGACTGTCTAAAGATTACAGGTAAAAGAGGATTTAGCAACCCCTCTTTACACTGGTTCTGTCCAAATTGCGAATCAAAGGCAATAAAAAAACTTGAGAATTGATCAAGAGATTGAAGCAAGACGTAAATTAATGAATTTTTCAAAGTTTTAAAAGTGTTAAATGAAAAACAAAGTATAAATGAGGTAGAATTTATGAAAGCAGATTCTGAAGCAGTATATCGAGCAATGATAAATGTGACTCTTAACAAGTTTATGACAATGATAATAAGGCTTCAATAAATAGTAAGTTATCTAAAATCAGAGATAGTGCAATGATGGAGAAAATATTATCATACACAGTGTAGAATAATCAAAAGAGGGTGAAGCAGTTACTAGTAAGCAACACGATATCGACATTGTTGTAGATTTGTTTCATTTTGATGAGACCGACTCCTAACTAGAAATAGCAGGAGCCTTACCAATAGGTGCAAAACGTGGAAATGTAGTACATTCAAAGAAAACTCTAAATGCAGTTGTGGTACAAATTGACATTAACTTTAAGGAATATATATGGACTAAGATTAATCTCAAGGGGAATGCTAAACTTTTATATAGATGTGTAAAAAGAAGTCCGTCTTCAGGTGAGCAGAATTCATAAAGCATTATATGACTTACTAAATAAAGCAAGTAACTTGAACATGTTGAAGTACTCATATATGATTTTAACAGGAAATTTAAATTTATCCGACACAGATTGGTAAGCATAGACTGCAAAGGAAGAAACAAGTATTGAATTCCAAGACTGTTAGAGACGATTATTTGTAACAGATAATGGACCAGCCTACACTGAAGAGGCATGGCCAGGAGAATTGAACGCCATGACTGCCTTATGTTGATTATAATCATTATATGCAGTGGTGACAACAATATATGCAGTGGTGACAACAATATATGCAGTGGTGACAGCATTGTATGCAGTTGCCACAGCATTATATGCAGTGGTCACAACAATATATGCAGTGGTCACAACATTATATGCAGTGGTCACAACATTATATGCAGTGGTCACAACATTATATGCAGTCGTTACAACATTATATATATATATATGCAGTGGTCGGAACTTTATATGTAGTGGTTACAGCATAAATACGTGTTTTGTTGATGAAGGTGATTATCAATGATAGTGATGATGAAAATTAATGATAGTGATGGTGGTGGTTTAAATTCGGTAAACTTCGTAAATTTTATCAGACACTGTCGAATCCGGTCATAATTGATAAGACCCCGCAAAACAAATGGAATATTTATTGAAGTCATGTAATTTAGGCAATTTGACTGAAAACTTTATCAGAAAAAATAGCACTTTCATCAACAAAAACGTATAATGTTGAAACCACTGCATATAATGTTCCGACCACTGCATATTATGTTGTGATCACTGCATATAATGTTGTGACAACTGCATAAAATGCTATCACAACTGCATATAATGATGTGGCCTGAGTAAAGAGGCAGTTCTAAGTATTATCAGGAAACATAGAACATGGGAGAGATGCATGGAAGACCGAAGTAAGGAAAACATGCAGAGAACATTGTAATGCCAGAAATAAGTTGGGGGGGGGGAAACAAAGCAAAAACAAACAGCCAGAATTTTTTAAAATTTGTTAACGCCAAGAGGAAATATAAACTTGGTGTTTCTGAGCTACATGATAAGTCAGAGAAAGGTAGCTAGTTGTGATAAAGACAAAGCTGAAATATTAGGATTTATTTTAGTAGTGTCTTTACTAAGGAGGAGGTTGTTAATTTACCAGATATAAATGTTATAAATCAATACAATACAATACAATACAATACAATACAATACAATACAATACAATACATTACATTACAATACAATACAATACAATACAATACAATACAATACAATACAATACAATACAATACAATACAATACAATACAATACAATACAATACAATACAATACAATACAATACAATACAATACAATACAATACAATACAATACAATACAATACAATATGTGTTTATTCCAATTAAGTTCTCTCAGGGGGCAATGACAAAGATACAATCATAACTCAGTTATACAAACAATACAGTACAAGAATACAATGTATAATACCGGCGTGGAAATAACAAATGCAATATAAGATTATTTCAAATGTTGAGTTCTATGCAATAAGGATGTTTGCGACAGTGCGACCCAAGGGGTGACAAATTATTTGGTAAATGCTTGCTTAGCTGGAGGAGACACCAGGGGACGGTGCTTAAGAATCATATGCATATGAACATCCCCGTGTCTGAACCAGCAAAGCCAACAAGAAGTAATACATAAATAGAGACCATTTATATGATTGCTTAACTGGAGGAGACACCAGGGAGCAATGCTTAAGAATCGTTTGAATATGATTCTCCCCATGTCAAAACCAGCTAAGCAAGCAGTTAAAAGAAAATGAAATATGAGTTTAAAGAATTTGTTTTAATGATTAAGATTAAAGCATTAAACCATTTACAGTGAGTATGAATAAAGTTACTCAAATGTTTAATTACTGATGTGTCCTCACATGTCATTAACAAAAAGAACTTTTCTGGAGGATTCATGTTAGCAAAATTATTACATGACTGAAATACATATAAAGTTTTTAAAAAAATTTCTCGCTCCTCGTTAAATTTAAATTTAATATAAAGAATTAATCACCCAAGAAGAGGTTAGAAAATCAAAGTTGGTATAAATACAACAAAATCACCAGGGCCTGATAGGGGCACATCCGATAGTTTTATATGAACTCCATTATAGATAAACCTTTATACATGATATTAAGAAGTCATTTGAAACCAACATAGTCCCAGACAATTGGAAGATAGCTATTCTATAACTGCATTATTTAAAAAAGGGAGATAAGAAATTAGCATCGAATTATATCTACCAGTCAGCTTAACCAGTATATTATGTTAACTAATAGAAAAAATAGTAAGGAATGAATTATAGCGCATATGAACAGTTTGAACTTGTTAAGGGATAAGCAGTATTGGTTCCTAGGTGGACGATCAACTACATTGCATCTTCTAAAAGTGTTGGACAAATGGAGAGATATACTAGACAAGGGAGATACTATTAATTCAGTATATATGGACTTTACATAAACAGCAGTAGTTGTTTTTTTCTAGATTTGGACATTTCAATCTCTAAAGGAAAACTCCATACTAAAATTTACGACAAAAGAGACGACTTTTCATTCCCTATTGTTAATTTTCCTTTTTTAGACGGCGATGTTCCTTTGGCTCCATCATACGGTGTTTATATATCCCAACTCGTTCGTTATGCCCGTGTGTGTAGTGATGTCATAGATTTTAACGAACGTAATCAATGCATCACTGGTAAATGATTAAGTCAGGGATTTCGTTACCATAAATTACGTAAAATTTTACTAAATTCTTTCATAGATACAACGATTTGATTAGTAAATTTGGCTGTACCTGTAGAAAACTGATTAAAAAACGGTATTTCACATCCTAAATTTTACGGTAATATTGTACTTAAAGCGCGGAAATCACTATGTGATCCGTGTAAACTCATCGAACCTTTAAACAAACTTATTAGTAAAGGTTATCTTACCAATGTTGTAATTAGATCTTTGAATATAGTTTACATTGGCACTATTATCGATTTTGTGATCAGCAAATTAAAACATAACTAAATTTGTATTCTTTTCAAACGGGATGTATAAAGACACACCCATGTTCATTTGTATCTATAAAGAGGTTAACTCCTAACTTTCCTACTGCCTGTCGATACATTTATTTTTGGCATTGCACAAGTCATGTCTTCTTTGACTGTCCATGACGTTAAAATACTAAATCCCTGTGATGTGTTTTAGTTGATTTTAGTCTCTGATGCATGATTTGTTATTATTAATTGTTTTTGGCTTTTAACTAGCTGTCAGTAACTGCGAGTACTCTCAACTCGTACTTTCTTGTTTATTTGACCTGTTGATACTTATTGTAATGCTTTTTTGTTATTTAATGTTTACTTATTCAGGGTTATATCTAGTCTATATACCAGTGTTTGGTATTACTATAAATTTTCACTTCTTCGTACTTTGAACATCAAAATTATTTATTTTGTAAAAACATTTTTTTTCTCCATTTGAACTGTACACGTATACCTAACAACAAAATTATTTTCATTTATCTGTGTTTAAAGTAATTGCAAATGGCTGATATTTTTGTTCAAGCATATTGTTTTTCTTAAATTGTTTAACATTTCGCAGCGGTATAACATGTTACTTTAACTATTCTTCCCTTAGTTTATTTATTTTGTATTTACATTGTATCATAGATCAAATTTATTTGTTCAGTGTATTTTCACTGGTGTTAATGTGTC